CCTGAATCATGATTTGATTTAACGAGAAMATAAGGCATTTTACTACTGCGCAATCATGAGTTATTTAGTGGTTATTACTTATCTAACAATAACAGGAAGGAACGCGCAAGGTGGATCTGGAAAGAGTTGTCCAATGTCAAAGCTCCCCAGCCAGTAATAAGATCAGCATTCCAGGCTGTGGTTGAACAAGACTGGCAAGGCGTGGCATACCTGATGCTTGAAGTAGCAGGACTTGACTTTATCGTTGCTTTAAGGGTATGTTAGGTGTGAATTCAAGAAAAAYAAAGACCATGTGTAGTAGACTGTGTAGAGCAGATTTGGCAGATTTTAACATCGCACGGCACGGCACGGTCACAGTATGGAATTTACGGACCAATCAGATTGCTCAAATATGGCACCGTCATGATACAACGTCACATTTGTACCGCGAGTTCTTTCATTTTTACAGCCATATGAAATTCATGGGGGCATAGGTGGCGTGCACAGATACGGCACTGTCTCCTACCGCTGGGTAGCTCATGYCTGGGGTCGCAGGTTCRATTCTTGACTGGRCCGCAYATGTGAGTTGAGTTTGTTKGACGTGTTGTTCTYCCCCTRACGCGAGAGTTTTCTCCGGGTTCTCCGGAATGATGCTTGTCAAATACAAGTCACGCAAAAATCTGCTTTACAAGGCTACTGCTTCTTTATGATAATTTACGTCAGCTTTTTGCTATCTTTATTAAATATATATCTTTCTGCTTTCCATGAATTTCCAGGCAGTTCTTGGCGCCCGTAAAGTGGACCTTGCTTGGACGCTAYTGAGAAAACAAAAGAAAGACGTTTTTGTTCAAGGGGTTGATGATAAAGGAAGGAACATACTTCATYTATTGGCCCTGCATACTACGGGAAACGAAAACAATGATGTAGTCGAAAAGGTCAGATCCTGATAGACGTCATGTCCAACATTTATTAAATCTTHCCATAAAGCTTTCAACTTATATATAGCCTTTTGAGAAGGCTGTTTGAAGCTTTGGCATTGGCTTCTGAAAGTCGTCATTCTGTTTTTCTGTCTGACAGATCGCCGTACACCTTCTTCAAAGAGGCGTTTCTCCGTCATCCCTGGACAAAGAAGGCGCCATTCCTCTACATTATGCTGCTTGTAATGGCAATGGAAACCTCTGCCAATTACTCTTACGTATGTAGAAATCGTGGATCATAAAACGTTTAATAGATCTGCACTACAGAAAAAAATGTTTGATGTTTTCAAATTCTTCGTAAAAATTCCACAATTCGGCAAAAATTCATATACATTTAAAAAACTTTTTATGTGAGATTTTCAAGAAAGGAATGCCATATACCCCCAAGGTATCCCATGATTCAGTGCCACGAGTAGAATTGCTCAGATAAAGATTTTTAGAAGTGCCTTATAAGTCACTTGACACATACCCTGTTTGATTCACTTCAATAGCCACCACATTTTACCACAGGCATCCCATAAGCAACTTTCAGATATTCTCTCCCTCTCTATTAACCTTTCCTTTACTATCATTCTTTACAGGATATAATCCATCTACCATCAACACAGTACATCCGTCTGGCATGACTCCTCTAGCATGTTCCTTTGACTGTACCAATTCAAGTTACAATTTTAAGTAAGGATCATAAAAAAATGTAAACATTGCTGGGTTTCACTCAGCTGTTTAGAGTCTTTGCATTTAATTATCTGCTCCAAATGGTGGTAAAACACTRACTGCCATGTGCTGTCAGACAGAAAGAATTCTACTAAAAAAATTCAGCTGATGAACATTTCGCGCAAGACCAGATTAATGACGTCTAGTGAAAATTTACAAAATTGCTTGATTTTCTTGAAGTTCCCTTCCTCCACCCACCTCCTACAGGAAGCCCAACTTTGTTCTTAATCCAACAATTTTTCCTTCACGCTTCAGAGAGATATTCATCAGTGCTAAACCMAAGACCTTAGATGTATGCTATAAAGTTGGTGGACTGGATGACTTAAAGCAAGACACCACGACACCTCTTATCGAGGCCTGTTTTGGAAACGATAAAAATCTTGTTGTTTTGTTGCTGCAGAGCGGAGCAAGTGTGAACTTTGCGAAGGTAGATTTCAATTTTTGCTCATCTTCTATCACAACTCCTTTCTTGGCTGCTTTTCTTTCTTCTCTCAGTCAACCCTCTTTCTTGGCCTCTCTATTTAGGCTTTAAATGCGGGAGTTTAAAGTTTTCATAGATCGCTCTAATTCTAGAYCTTTGTGGAGTTGGCGGACATGTTGTAGGATAAAGATGCAATGTTTTTGCATGACRAGACACTTGAATTCCCCAAAAGAAAAACAACCTATTGTTTTGCTCCACATGCTGTCATGAAAACAATCTTGTTGAATGCCGCTATGGCGCCATGTCTCTTTTTTTTCAATCTTTTGATAATCATTTCTATGCTAACTGCCCATTTGTAAACCGCCACCCGGTTAGCTCAGTTGGTAAGAGCGTCGGTCTGTTGTGCGGGAGGTCGTGGTTCAAGCCTCGGCCGGACCAACACTCAGGGTCTTAAAATAACTGAGGAGAAGGTGCTGCCTTTGTAATAGCCCATTTCCGAGATATGCTTCGCTTGTCACGCACAAAGGTTTCAGTATGAGGCTACGTGCTAAATGCTCAGTCATTTGTGACAGGCGGTAAGAATAAGTTTAATTTAGCACGTAGCCTCATACTGAAGGCTGACAAGCGTGACAAGCGAAGCATATCTCGGAAGTGGGCTATTACATCTGCAAATGGTTAGACCTTCAAGTCTTCTCGGACAAGGACCCTGTCTCCCAACCCTTCCTAACCAACAGTAAAWGGGGGACATAAAAGAACCTNTTGAATTATTCGTATAAGAGTAGGGGATTGTCTCCCGGTTCAACAGCCTATCCCAATCTGGAGGCATTAATATTAACTTACTAACTAACACTCATGATTGTAAGCTGCACGGCTGCTACTAGCGTAAGGTCCTCCACTGGTCACTTGCGAAGCGCATTGAGACCATGTAAAATGCGCTATATAAGAAATCCCGTTATTATTATTGTTGCCAGGCTAACGGAAGAACACCGCTGATGGAAGTAGTGCGGGCTAACATGGAGGACATGGCCAAACTGCTTCTCTATGGAACAAAAGATAGAGCCCAGTGGAAGGGTAACAAGACKAAAGTCAACATGGCTGCTACTGATAATGAGGGCAAAACTGTTATTCATCATTGTATACAGAGCAGAGAGGTGAGTTSTGGGGCCCCTGTGGTGAACCCCAGYTGGGGAGGTAATTTACCTTGAAGAATAGACTGGTAACAATAATGTAGCGCATAGCATTGTGGGATTAAATTTGAGGTCGCGAGGTGGCGGAAYTCTTTGATCTCATTCCAAAATTCASCATCTTAAAATCTTTGAACTTCTGAAAAGTGAATCTATATAGACCTTTTTGTATTGTAAAATATCGCTATTGTCATTGATTATAGACTCATTTACTCAGGGTAGCCACATTWCAGTGTCAAAAAATATTCATTAATATCATCGGTAAAGTAAAGAATGCAAAACGCAAACAATATATGAGACTTTGAAATTCCATGGACCTTCACTGGAACACAYGATATTGTACGCAAATTCAAGGCTAACCTTGAGCAACAGAGAATTTAAAACTAGAGTATTAAAATTGACAATTTGAATGCGTGACGAATGATGAATAGCTTAGGTGACACTCAATGCGTGACAGCCAATGCGTGACAGTCAATGCGTGACAGTCAATGCGTGACAGTCAATGCGTGACAGTCAATGCGTCAATTACTGCGATTTGTATTTTATTTTCTTATTTTCAGTACGGTTCCCACGAGAATGTTACAATGCTCTTGCTTTTGGCCACGTTTGGTGCACCCCTTGAAGTTCCTGACATTGCTGGCAAGACTCCTTTACAATACGCCATGCAGCAACGGTCTGGAAAAATGAGAGAAGCTCTTGCTGACCTAATTGAAGACAAAAGCGAATTACAGGTATATATACTAATAATTACGCCAATTAAACAACTAGTCTGAGAAAAAAATCTCATAATCAAAAGTAAACAATCGAATAAACCTCATTACTTTGAGTGAAATGTTTTCCCATTTCAAACCACGTGTCATTCTCTTGAGAATAATATTATTTGTTTGGAAGTACAACCGTTAAACAAAAAATGATACTCTAGAAAATAACACGTGGTCTGAAATGTGAAAATAGAAAGATAAAGGTAAAGAGTTCTTAGTGTTTGGGTGCAATTTGGGTGTAATTCCTGTTTACGGTCTACTCTAGTAACCACGACATAAATAAAACATTTTTGCTGTTGTTGCTCATGGTCAGGACGGCGAAGAAACCATGGACATCGACCAAGAATTGGGTTTCCAATTTGACTCCACCCTAAACGCATACTGGGAAGGCCCAGAACCTGACGTCGACGCTGACTCAGAAGCCATGTTAACTCAGGCCAGGGATCTTGATGAAGTTCTTGATAACGAAGATGATACTAAAAGTAAACCTCCTCCAGTTGATGATCAGGCCAATGTTGAGAACGGGTAAGTAAGATGGGAGGGGTCTTGTGCACGTGTGTGTGAGGTGGTGGGGGATAATCTTGTGTGCATGAGATTGCCAGCCAAGGCACATTTTCATTGCCATTCAAATCCTTAGAAAATATAAATCTTAATTTTAATGCTAATAATAGACCTCTTTAGCTTATACGTAATGTTTTCCCATTTCAGACCACATGTCATTCTCGTGAGAATAAGATCGTTTGTTTAAGTCATATCCATATTCATGTGTCTTCTTATGTACAACCGTCAAACAAACCGTGGTCTTGAGAATAAGATTCTTTGTTTGAGTCATATCCATATTCATGTGTCTTCTCATGTACAACCGTTAAACAAAGATATGATACTCTAGGGAATGACACGTGGTCTTGAGAATACGATTCTTTGTTTGAGTCGTATCCATATTCATGTGTCTTCTCTTATGCAAACGTTAAATAAAGAAATCATACTCTAGGAAGTGTTAGTCTGAAAGGGGGTTGGGACACGCGACCTGTTAGTGCATGATGGTCAAATATAACGATTCGTTGTCATGGTAATTTTCTTTCAGGGAGGTCTACATTGACCCTAACACAGGGATCCCATACGATATTCTTATGACCAAGGTGGACGTCAAGTACGGAATGTATGGACTTAACAACTTCTACAAAATGCAGGTATGGCAATAAATGTTGATATAATCTCTCCAGTCTTGTTCCAAATGTTTTCATTGTGATCGTGTTGTGTTAGTAGTATAACGAGGTTTTACGGCAACCGTGTTGTAGTTCGAGAACAATGCAACTTTTTTGCATAACGAGATTTGATTTCCCAAAGGAGAAAATATTTTTGTTTTTCCACACAACTGATGGCCGTCGTGTGAGTAGATTTTGTTAAGTCCTCTTCCTTCGATTCAAGTATTTTTCTCCGGGTTCTCCGGTTTTCTTCCCTTCGCAAAATGTAATACACTAAACTCCGATTCGATCTGAGAGTTAGCGAGTGCTCTGAATAAGATCAGCCCAAAAGTCGCGTCGGGGTTCAAAAAAATAAAAGGATACCCTCCCCCACCCCCCACCACCAACGCACACACACCATATGACAATAGCTATTATACAAGATTGATGATATCAATGTTTTTATTTTTACCGATTTTCCAGGTCGTACACCACAAGGGCAAAGACCTGTGGGTTCTGTTRAATCGATGGGGTCGCATCGGTAGCTTTGGACAACATCAAAGAACCCCCTTCAGAAACCCAGCCGATGCCACTCTTGAATTCCGMAGGATTTTCCGCAGCAAGACTGGAAACAACTGGGAAGA